TATATAAATATTATTAGCATTATTAGTTAACCTGTTAACCAGGATGAAGGATAAAGAAGTTCTACAGAAACCTCATGAACTCCTCCAAAGGAAGCCAACACACACACACACACACACACACACACACACACACACACACAGAGATAGGTATGCATGCACACTTGTGTCTTTAAAGGAATCACACAGGATGAGACACAGGAGGGTTTTAAAATCTGCATCAGTGGATGAATGCACAGACCAAAGAGATCGAAAGTCTTCAAGACAGCATTAGCTCACTTCTTCACGATTATTCAGCCATTCACCACATCCAACTGCACACGGACTGGATTAAGGTAAAACACTGGGTAAAGAGAGTAGTTGGGCAAATAAATACTTAAGAGTAATGAAGAAAGGGGATACCAGGCTATGGCCACATGGCTGACTTGTGTGCCTTTGTAAAGGTAATTCCCAGATCAAGAACCAACAGAGAAGACGTCATCAATCATGTCTATCACTCCCCGGCCAGCTCACTGATCTGAGGGAGAGTTAATGCCAGCGGGAAACAGGTCATTTTCCCCCTTTGCCTGGGAATCAAATGATAAAGGATGACTATGCAGTCTCATTTCAGGAAGCCTTTGACTGTGACCAGCTGAGGACTTGTCCCCCTTTTCAAGGTGTTAGAAAAATGGGAGAAAACACATCCATGGACATCTGTGCTTGATGGTAATGATCTCAACATGCTTTACCTGAGAAAGGACCATCTATATTTCAAGTACACTAAATACTAATAAATGACATGAGCCTCCTTTTGCACTGTCAGAGAAGAAAGGGATACATTGAAAAATCAGCAATAAGCTAAATGCAAAATACCGACCCATGTGCACTCTTTCCTTAAAACTGAAGACAAAATAGGAAATCACTGCCAGGTCAAACCAAGAGCCAAGACCATAAACCTGACCTTTGGATGGGGCTTTACAGTTGAGAAAAATTCTCCCATATATACTTTCTGCTCCAATATTCTCAATAACCCAATCAGATTAGCAGGGCAAGTACTATAATTTTGATTTTAGAGAGACAACCCCAAACTCAGAGGGCTTCAGTACACCAGCCAAGGCCACACAGAGAACAGATGGAAACCCATGCACATTTCCACATGGAGCCAGGACAAGAGTAACTGATGGCAGGACAGATGCTTTGCTTTGCCTGCTCCTGTCTGCACTAGTTAGAGACAGGGATGAGCATTTCCTTAAACTTGTAAACATCACAGGCACACTGTCTCCTTTGTGCCTGTGAAGAATGTAGTTATTTCTAAAGGTAACTAGTAACTCCCCTGCAGCTCCTGCCTCATGCATTTTGTCAAGTAGAGTTTTGAAATAAAGGCCAAATTAATGCCTAGACCTTAGAGTTGTTGTGATGACCCACTAATTTAGATGTAATTAAGTGCACTTTACACCTTGTTACACATGGATTGGAGACGCTGTCTGGAGGCCTTGTACTTGAAATAAGTGTCTTTGTATAATTCTTAACTCCCACTGCCTCTACTGAGACTTCCCAGGTTGACCAGAGAGGGGGAAAAAAGGATGAATTCTGTGTCCCTGCCCAGTCTAGCCTTTTGTCTAATCCTTGGTCTCTCTAGGTCAAATGTATAGTGCTCATCCCCCTATAATAACTACTGAACTATTATTTACCTTTAACCTACACCTGGATGAATATGGAATATATAATAATAGTGAATGAGTCATTTCCACCTCTTCCCTTGCCATGTGTGACCAAATAACATTGCTTCTACCTTCCTAACCTCAGTAAGCCCAATCCCCTCTCTCCATTCACATACCATTCACCCTAGTTTGGGCCCTCATTTCCTTCTCCCAAAACTACTGCATCAGTCTCCTAATTGTTCTCCTGACTCTAGTCTTCCCCCTTGCCAGTCCATCCTCTAAAAAAGCACCAGAGTGATATTCCTAGAACAAAGATTGGACAGCGTCACTCCTCAAGAATTTTCAGTGGTTCTTTAATGATTCTAGAATCAAATATGAACTCCTCTGTTGGGCACTAAAAACCCTTCTCGATCTTGTTCTAGCCTCATTAAACATTGCCCCCCCCCTTCATGTATATGACACTCTCCCTTCTCACCTTTGTCTGCTAGAATCCCTCACTTCCATTAAGGCTCAGCTCAAGTTCTATCTCCTCTATGAAGCCTCCCATGATCCTCCTTGTTGTCATACATTCCCCCCTCAAAGACTTTGACTTTACTTTGTATACATTTGTATTTTCTTCTCTGCATTCATGTTGTGCTCCATTGCTCCTCTGAAGCTGAATGTAAATTCTGTGAAGGCAGGGAATGCCTCATTTTTTCTCTCTATTTCTAATGTAATAAGTGCTTAATAACTTGTTGGATGAATGAATGGACATATAGATAAAAGTGAATCAAGAAGGAGGGGAGATTCTCAATAACACAATTCTGGAGACACAGTTACAATTGATTATGATGAGGGGAAAACAAGGGATAAGACATCTAAAGACACTACGATAGAGTTCATTCACCAGCTTAGATTTTCTTTATTTTTTCTTTTTCTTTTTTTTTTTTTGGCTAGGCAATGGGGTACTGATATACACCAAGATTAGTCTGGTCATATAGCAGATGGGAACTTTTCATTGTCACCATTTGGGGCATGGAAGACGACCTGGCAGCTGGAATGATGCATCAGAAACTTGCTTCCTTTCATAAACTGACAGATGACAAATCCCTACACTACAAATACCAAAATGTAAATCTCCTCAAGAACTCAACCAATAAACTGGAAACAGAGCATTGTCACAAACTGAACTGTTGCCCACAATTACCCAGGACAATGTTTTGAACAGATGTTATCACACTAAATACTCATAATCTCTAATTTACATGAAATGAAAATGCTTCAAAATAAAGAGACCTAAAAGAGATCAAAAAGCATGTGGGAAGAGGATAAGGTACATCTATCATCCCTATAGTCTTGTTCGCTACTGAAGATGCTTTCAATGAGCCTGCAGAGGATGAAATTATGTTATAAAACATTACTCAACTGGGAAAAAACATTTATTTTAACCACTTATGCAATAATCTGCAGAACATTAAATATGAAAAAAAATAATAGCAGGATAACAACTTGTCCAGGGGCCTTTATGTCTGAATCCCATCAAAAAAAGATGAGAAGAATGAGAATTATGATATATGGAGGTGTCCAAGTAAGAGGCTACAAGACAGAGACATTGGAGGATGAAGAGAAAGCTTTCGGGTACAAAATAGACATTCCCCACCCAAAAATGGTGGGAAGCTTGAATACCCTAATTGTGTATGAAGAGATGAATAAGACAATGAACACTATAGCCCCTCTAGGGCATGGATTGAGTTAAGTTGTCCTTAGCCACAAAATTAATATTCCCAAAGGAGTATGGAAGTGGAAAAAAAAATACTGATGATCCTAAGGGAACAAGAAATTGTTCATAGGTGGAAAGGGCTTTAAAAGATGAAGTTTTTGAAAATGAGTCTTCTTTCATTTCTTGGCTGAAAGTGACTAACAAATCCAGAACTAAGGCTTGGAAAGAGTCTAAGGGAGAACCTACGCCTTAAGCTAAGGACCATTACACCACCTGAAAGAGATTTTGTAGCACTGTGCCTGAAAAGAGCATGCTAAGATTCCAGCTGGAAAGCCCAATACCACTCAGGCCAGCAAGGGACTGAGGGTGGAAAAAGACTCTAGCTACTCATTAAAGAGCAAAATCAACAGACTGAGCCACCCAACAATGACACTGGACCCTGAGAAGAGGCAGTGGCAGAGCAGCCTGCCTGGTCCATCCAGGTACCAGAGTCTAGGAGCCCAGTATCTCTGATGGATCAGCTGAGCTTGCTGCTCCCTAGGGGCAGTGACCCACTAGGCTTTGTAAAGAACCAACCAAGCTGAGGAGCAGAGCAACTCATTGTGAATCTCATGAAGTCCCTTGGGAGAGAGAAAGGACGTTGGGGCCCTGCAGCTGTGAGTGGCTATGGCCCTGTGTGTGCCCCACAACCTCTGTACTTTGGGTTCCTGCCCACTTCTTTCTCTTCTTGGACTCTTCCATAAGTTATGGGAAAGTATGCCTTTGGTGTTGGGGAAAGTGATTTGTAATGATTGCTCTTGCTATGCCATTTGAGTAAATGCCTTTGTTAAAGATCTAGATCTACTGGCCAATTATTAAGAGGAAGCATGGCAGTGAGGGCTTCATGATCCAGTGTTAGGGAAGGTAGCCACCTATAGCCCTAGACCAAGTAACAGCCCCTCTCCTGGGGATCCAACTGGTCAATGGCAGGGTCAGTTGTATAAATGAGTCCCAGTGGACTGCTAGAATAATAACAGCAGCAGCAACAAACCCTTTCACATCTGTTATTTCATTTGACCCTCATATTAATACTTTTAGATAAGAAAAATGAAAAATTACTCCCATTTTATAGTTGGAAAAACCGAGGCTCATATAGATGAATTGATCTCCTCACATGACTAATAATGGGACCAAAACACAAATTTTTTTGATGACACTCTTCGTGTTTTTTCCAATGTATTATGTTCATATGTGGGTACACAAGACAGATTTCACACAGAATTTCAGAGTTGGTTCATTTCCCATTGGAACAACCTCTGATGTAAGTAGATGTATTCACATAAAATTATATCATCAGATATTTTATCTGCTTAAATATCTTATCATGTGAAAAATAAAAGTTCATGACCAAGAAACTATATAGTTCAGTAGTTCCTCATTTAGCTTATATGATTTTTAAAAATAGTGAAAGTTGAGCTTTTTTACTGATACACACACACATACATATATATGTATATTTAACCAAGAGATTAAAATATTTGCTATTTTTCTTCGTTAGAATGGAAGAGTGTCAATTAGCAATATCATTTTTTCCTCTATAATGACTTAGCAGCAGATGGAACAATGCATGCAATTATTTGTATCCATGTATGTGTATATTACTGCTGTATACTTATGACATTTACCTTCCAAATCACAGAATCTCTGAGCTGGATGAGACTTCTTGAGCAATCTTTCCTGAACCCTTCACGGGCATAAATCCCTTCTACAGAATTCCAGTGAAGTGGGCATCCGGCCTTTATTTAGTCTTCTAGCAAGGGACATCTCATTACCTCTGAAAGCAGCCAAAATCTACAACAAGAAGTCAACAGGAGAACCTTATACGAACAGTTCTGCATTATATAGTAAAGAATAATCCTGGTATTTTTGTGTTTGGAAACTGGCATTACCATGGGAGCATTAATTACTTCTAGTCCCTTGCTGCCATTTGGTAAATTTATTCTGTTAGCTTTGTTCTACACTCAGAAAGTTGAGGGAGAAAAATGTGCCTTTGTATATAATCTGTATCAAATTCCTTACCATTTTAGGGAAGGGGGAGGGGAGGGAGAAAAATTGAGACTCAAAACTTTATTTAAAAAATGAATGTTCAAACTTACCCTCCCCTTATTAACCTTTGAGAGCCCAGAAAGTATCACCTCAGGAAAAACCCTGGAACAGCTGAACCTGAAGAAAGATGGGTCCAGTAGCCCAGGTAGCTTGAGAGATTAACGGGAAAGGCCCCCTCTTGTCCTGGGGGAAGGGGAGCAGTACAGAACAGGAAGCGTCCCAGCAAGCTAGTCCACCTCAGCATATGAGGAGGAGATCCTGAAACCTAGGTGGTGGGGCAGGCAAACACCAACACCTGGACCCCTGAGTGCCTCAGTGAGGGCATGAGAACTGGTGGAAACCATCTCAGAAAACCACCCAGGGCCTCAGCATTCTACAGCAACTGGCTCTCGCAGTCCTCAGCAAAACTAAGGGAAGCAGTGCTCCAAGGGGCCCCAGGCAGATAAACATCCTGCAACATCCATCTGAAAGAAGCTGAAGAAAGCAAAAGGAAAGAAAGGTCCAGGTGAGCAGGAAATCTCTAGAAGCCACACTACCCAGTCCTACCCCTAGATTTCCAGTGTGGCTGATTCCAGCCCAACACCAGGTAAGCTGCCAGAACCCTACAGCTTCCAACTGCCAGCACTGGAGGCCCCAGCACACAAAGCCAGTGACTGGGCTCTAGCCTCTCAACACAAAAAGCTTGGGTCAGTGCTGTCTGCTCCCCAGAAGGAGAGCTCAATCTTTTTAAAGGGCAGGAAATAAGCAAAGACCACGAGCAAAAAGAAACGTACAATAGATTCTTCTTATGAGAAGAGTGAAGATCAAGGCAGAAATTCTGAAGAAGACAATGTTGTCAACAAAACCACATCTGGAACCTCCCAAAGGGAATATGAACTGGTCTGAAGCCCCAAAAGCCTTCTTAGAAGAGCTCAAGAAGGATTTTAAGTGTCAAATGAGAGAGGTAGAAGAAAAAATGGGAAAAGAAATCAGAGGTATGCAAGAGAGAGTCGATAGCTTGGGAAAGGAAGGACAAATTAACTGTAGAAAACAAGTCCTTAAAAAATACAATTGGCCAACTGGAAAAAAGTACACCGAAGAAAACAAGTCCCTAAAAAATACAATTGGCCAAATGGGGAAGGACATACAAAATCTAATAGAAGAAAACAATTTGTTAAAAATTAGAATTGGGCAAATGAAAGCTAATGACTATGAGAGAGCAAGAATCAGTCAAACAAAAACAAAAGAATGAAAAAATAGATGAAAATGTAAAATACCTCATTGGTAAAACAACTGACCTGGAAAATCAATCCAGGAGAGACAATTTAAAAATTATTGGTCTACCTGAAAATCACGATGAAAAAAAGAGCCTGGACAGTATCTTTCAGGAAATCATAAAGGAAAACTGCCCTGAGGTCCTAGAACCAGAGGGTAAACTAGCCATAGAAAGAATCCACTGATCACCTCCTGAAAGAGATCCCAAATTGAAAATGTTAAGGAATATAGTAGCCATATTCCAAAATTACCAGATCAAAGAGAAAATACTGCAAGCAGCCAGAAAGAAATAATTCAAATATCATGGAACCACAGTCAGGATTACACAGGACCTTGTAGCTTATACATTAAAACACCATAGGTTATGGAATACGATATTCAATAAACGCAAAGGAGCTTGGATTTCAACTAAGGATCAACTACCCAGCAAAAATGAGTGTGATCTTTCAGGGGAGGAGATGGATATTCAATGAAATAGGGGACTTCCAAACCTTCCTGATAAAAAGACCAGAGCTCAACAGAAAATTTGATCTTGAAATACAAGACTCAAAAGAAACATAAAAAGGTAAATGAGACAGAAAGAAACAGCACATTATTAATAAGGGCAAACTGTTCACATACGTACAAGGGAAGATGACACTTGTTACCCTTGAGGACTGTATTGTTATTACACTATGTTAAAGGGGTACACCTAAAGGTGCTGGGTATAAGTTGACTTTGATATAATGATAAAAAAAAATCTAATCAAGTGGGTTAAATGGATCTAAGTAAGTGGATTAATCTGATCTAAGAAAATGTACTGAGAGAAAAGTAAAGAAGGAGGCAGACAAGGGTAAATTACATTACAGGAAAAGGCACAAAAACCTATTACAGCAGAGGGAAAGAAGGGAGGGAGATGAGTATTGTTTGAATCTTACTCTCATCAGATTTGGCTCAAGAAGGGAATAACACAATCAGTTAGGTACTAAATATTGATAGACTTAAGCCTTCTCAGCAATACAAGGATCTAAGACGTCTCCGAAGGCCTCATGATGGAAAATGCTATCCACATCCAAAGAAAGAACTATGGAGTTTGAATGCAGATTGAAGCATACTATTTGATATATATTTTTTTCTTCTGTTGTGTTTTGTTTCCTCTTTCTAGTGGTTCCTCCTATTGGTTCCAATTCTTACTTACAACATCACTAATGTGAAAATATGCTTAATATGAATGTATATGTGTATAGCCTATATCAGATTGTGTGCCGCCTTGGGGAGGAAGGTAGAGAGGGAGGGGGAGAAAAATTTAAGACTCAAAAGCTTATGAAAGTGATTGTTGATAAATCAAAATAAATTAATTTTTTAAAAGTTAATAAAATGAATGTTAAAAATTGTCTTTGCATGTAATTGGAAAATATAAAATACTATTTAAAAGAAAAAAACCAAAAACAATATTCCATGTATATTAATTCCAGAGGTTGTTCTGGATTCAGTAAGACCAGTAAAAATGTAAAACTGTAAGGGGAAGGGGGAGAATGAGGAGGAGAAGAAGAAAAAGTGAAGGAGTAAGAAGAGATTTCACGAATGTCAAATAAGGCTGTACAATAGAGGTTCTTAACCATTACTGTGGGTCTTGGACCCCTCGAAATGCCTGATGAGGCCTATGGACCCATTTACAGAATCATGTTTTTATTGTATAAAAGAAAATATGCGAGATGACAAAGGAAACCAAAGGTTAAAGAAAACAATGATGCAATTTTTTTCCAATCCAAATTCATAGACCTCCCCCTAAAATCAATCCAGAAACCCATTGCAGATCAGTGGATACCATATGAGGAACCCCTGCTCTCCAGTGCAAAGCCCTGTTCTAAACACTAGGATGCAAAGAAGTATCAGGCTGTATGCCCTCCAAGAATTTAACCTCTACAAGAAGAAATAACATGTACAATAACAGTTATACCACAATATAGGATGAGATAATTACTGGAGGAATAATTGATTCTCTCACTCTCCCCAAACTTCTCTTCTCTCCTCAAGGTTCCCACATCTTCCCTTCCTACCACCCTCTCAGCTCACGTACCACTTCATATTTTATGGAGGAAAAAAAAGGTCATTTGTAGCATACTTCCTCTTCTTTCTGCCTCCTCATCTCATGTTTTTTTTTTTTTACATTATTCCCCACTATTTCCTCCTTCACTCTAATCAATGATGGAACTGATCCCATCCCCTCCCATCCTCACCAGCAGAATGCCCCCACCATCATCCTCCTCCTTTCTAATTTTCTATATCTCTCTATCTACTGAATGCTTCCTTGCTTCATACAACACAAACACGTCTCTACCACGGTTGAAAAAAAAAATCTCACTAGACTCACCATCTCCATTAGCTCTCCCTCCTCTCTTTCTCTTCCAAACTCTTGCAAAAGCTCTAAACTCAATGCCTCTACTTTCTCTCCTCTTACTTTTAACATCATCATTCTAAAGAAATCGCCCTCTCCAACATTACCAGTGAACTTTTAACCATCATACTGATGTCTTCTTCTCGCTCATCCTGGAAACATTCACCTCCTCCAGAATACTCTCTGCTACCTGCTTCTCCTCCTATATCCATGAGTGTTCCTCCTCATTCTTCTTTTCTAGATCATCATCCATGTTGTGTCCACTAATTGGAGATTCCCCTAAAGCTCTGTCCAGTGTCTATATTCTCTCACTTGGTGACCTCATCAGCTCTCATGGGTTTAATTATTCCTACATGCAGATGACATCAAATTGTATGTCTCAAACTCAAAATGTCCGAGAAAGAACTCGCTACCTTTTCCCCAAACCCACAAATTTTCTTAATGTACCTGTTTCTGTTGCGTTCACCACCCAAATGCCCAGGTTTGGAACTTCAGTATTATCATCAACTCCTCAACTCCTCACTCATCTTACATATCCAATCCCTTAACAAATCATGTTGTTCTATTTCCACAAATATATCTCTTTCATATATTCCCTCCCCCACTTTCATGGCTACCACCCTAGTTCCTTCCCTCATTGCCACTCTCCTACCTTATTTGCAAAGACGTCTTAATTAGTCTTCTTCCTCCAAATCTCTCTCCACTCTAATACATCCTCCACTTAGCCACCTTTGTTTTCCTAAAGCTTATGTCTGACCCTGTCCTTGCCAGCCCTGCTTATCAGTTCCAATGGGTCCCTATCATTTCTGGGATAAAAAATAAACTCCTCTATTTGGCATTTAAAAGACTTCACAATGTGGCCCTTTCCATTTTTCTAGTCTTCATACATATTACTCTCCTCCAGGTACTTTCTGGTCCAGTCACGCTGGCCCACTATTATTCCTCAAACCTGACACTCCTACATCCGAGCCCAGCACTCCATCTACTAGACTACACTGTCTCTATAAATATTTCACTGCTTAGTTCTTTAAAAATCTTCTGTGTGTTGATATA